TTATTATTTTTATTTTTAATAAAATGCTGAAGTGGTAGGTAGATGCAAGATAAAGGTAGAAAACATAGTTTAGTGTTGTAAGAGAGCAATTGTAGATGATCAGGTGTGTGCCTGTAGACTATGTGTTAATCCGAGCTAGACAAGGGCAATAAAACATCCACGGATGCAGATTTCTCTCAAAACAGGGGGGGTGAGGTTCTAAGTCTCACCACTGTTGATCCCCAATTTCTCACCTGATGACCTGATGACCCCCCTGCGACTGTGCCTGTCTTAGGTTGTTCCTCCCTTGAGGAATCTTACCCGTCTGGCTAACCAGTCATCTTCCGGGGCCATACAGGGAGATGTAAAGTTGGTAAGTGACCAGAGGCTAATATTTTAAGCTGGACATCCTGAGACCATGAATGTCTGCTTTCATTCTCTTCCCCATCCTTTGCTCCCTTAGCCCCTGGAACTTTCCATGCAGTTTGGACAAAAGGTTTCCATGCATGAAACCTCTCTTGTTTCTCAGTCCTTATGAGTTCTAGGGAAGGATTTAAAGCTGGGTTGTGAAAGGATAATGGGTAATAAGTGGAAAACATTCCGAGGCCTAAAAATGACATTTGCCATTACACCAAAACTTTCACCAGGGAATTTCAACATTCTAGGCAGAGAGGAAAGCCTATCTGCCCACAGAGAACTCCAAGGGCAGTGGGGCTAGAAGTAGGGACAGTAAGTCCTTGTTTGCAGGTGGATGGACCCATCTGGGCCCAGAGGTTCCCCAGAGTCTCAATCCACCTATTTAAGACCTTTTTTTCTCTTGAGACCATTTTTATATTGGATTCATTTCCTGAGGCAATTCCAGAAACAGAGGGTGGGAACCTAAAACCTTGCTATTTATGCAGCCCAGGATACAAATGGGGAAATCAGTGTTTTCCCTCAGAGCAATCTAGAAAGTACTAGCCAAAGAACAAATTACAAACAGCTACACAAGCACTGGGGAAGTCCCACAGATCATAAGGGATGGAAAATAACCGTGAGATCATCACGTTCATCTCCCCAGGGGCCTGGACAGCCAGGCCACGGCTTCACAATCCTCCTTCTGAGGGTGTTTCACCTTCTTCGTGCTTTGGACTGTGAATAGTATAGTGTTCCTGATTAATCTCCCATACATTCCCCCACAGATCGGCAGCACCTACAAAACAGAGGTCCTCATGCATGGGTATTAAGTCCAGAACATTCTCTACCAGGTGGGTTTTTTGTTTGTTTGTTTGTTTGTTTTGCTATTTGTAAACAACTCTAAGTGCTCATCCATAATCCACCCCATCATGCTGACCAGTTCTATGGACAAGCTGGATCATCTTGCCAGACTGACATATCAAATCCTGTAGTAACTTCAGGGTCTAAGCCCAACTTTTACAAGCTATCAAGCAGGAAAAATGTTGTACTTGTTTTCTTGCTAAGAAAAGCAGACAGCCTTCACCAGGAAAACAAACAAAAATAATGATCTGAAAATGTTTATGGTTTTCCCCAGAGTGAAACACACACCCACAGTTTTTTCCTCCAAGTTACAAAAATAATAAATGCTCAGTGCAAAAACTTGGAAAATATAGAAAAACATACTGGAAAACTACTGATGGTGTTTTGTTGTGCTGCCTTCCAATATTTCTCTATGAATAGTCACCTATATACTAATGCACAGTATATATTACATTATATATTATATGTATTATGTTATATATTACATAATACATAATTATAAAAATGAAGTGGTATAAAGAACTCTACATATAAAACATTCATTCATATATATTCTTATATATTTATTTATGAAATATATACTTGCATATTTCATTAAGAATGTCACATGAAATGTAAATCAATTTTGTCAAATTGTTTTTACTCTAAGATAATGTATTAATTGGAGAAAATCAGAAAATATGCTTGAGCCAAAAGAAAGAGGTTAAAATCATGTCTGTTCTTACCATTCAGGAAAAATTACTTTCAACTGCTATATGATATGCTCTTCCCTTTTATTCTGAATATACACACATAGCTACAAAACTATATGTCAGATTATACAGAAATGGCATCATGATACGTGTTTTATTTCGTAAGTGTGTTGGGACAATACCACTGAACACGAAGCCTTCGTATCTTCCTTTCCTCTGGGAGTCATCTCGCACTGTGGCTTCTCCCCGTGGAGGACCCGCCACCTGGGACAACGGGCCACTGCTCAGCCTTGAAGGTCAACACTGACTCCAGAGTTGCTAGAGGCTTTGAAAGAGGATTCCTAAATTTTCAAATTTTCCTTTCACATAACAAGAGTAAAGCCCGGAAGTCTAATAACAGGACTTCACTGAACATCATAGTGCAGAAGAGACAGTAGGAAAGTTCCTCCAGGTGGGAAGGGACAGTATAAAGTTCTTCCAGGCCAGAGGAGAGACAGAACGAGAGGCAGCAGTTAGACAAGCCAGGCCTTTCCTGCCATCCTTCTTTGAGATTGTATCTTGAGAACTAGGGTGTTGATAACATCTAGAGGGAGTTTGAAAGATCCAAAAATATCTGAGTTGGAGCCCTGCTTTCCTGGGATATAGTCTGGGGAGATTTCATCCAGTCACTTGGGTTTATCTGGCACAGATCCAACACAGCACCATGGCATGGTCAGAAATGACAAAGGGCAGAGGCGCAGTGTCTAGGCAAATGGGCGGGAGGTGACACCCCTATTCTCACAGCTTGCCAAGTATCTAGGGGCTCCTGATTCCCTCATGGGTCCAACACGGTACCTGAATTACTAAGCCTCAGGTTGGGACCAAGAGGCCACTGTTATTCTCAACCTCCTTCCTAAGTCGAGAGGAGGTGTATGGTTAACACACTAATTTTCCAAAGCAGTGCAACTCAAGAGCCATTTGAGTCCCACCCCACACCAGGAATGCAAAGACGAGGCCTCGCCCTCAATGAGCACAATATCTGGAGAGTTTAATTTGTTCTATACCACTGTGGTACACACATTACTAAAAATCAGATTAAGGAAATCAACATAAGATTGTATATCAATGATACTTTAATTTTTTAAAAAAACAATCTTTAAAAAAAAAACCAGATTAAAGTAGGTGTTGGGGGAGTGGAGTGTGAGAACAATTCCATAGGCCCTCTGCTACTGCTTTGGCCTCTGAGAGGCTAAGGCCTTGTCCCCTCATCCTGCTTTCTGTGGCCCTTCTTTTCTCCCCTGCCCCTCTTTGAACTCAGCCCTCATCTTCTCCATCCTCCATCCTAACCTACTTTATACAGCCTCTCTCCCAAGCCTGCTTCCATGAGTCCTGGGGTGTTCATGGTAGTAGGATAGGTGGGGCCAGACCCCAAGGCTACAGTGAGCCAGCCAGGAAAATGGGACCAGGATAATAACTGGGGGGAGATTGGTAATAATGATTATTAGTTTTATTTATCACTTATAATGAATCTTACTATGTGCTGGGCACTGGAGTAAGCCCTTTACTTACACAGTATGAATTCATACATTTGTGTTAACTCATACATTAACTCATAATTCAAATCTATAAGCACATGCTATCCATGTAACAACTGTGGTAAGTGCAACCATGATTCCTACTCTTAGAGATGAGAAAACATAGGCAGAGAGAGGTTAGCATGCCTTAGCCAGGGTCACAAAGCTAGTATGTAGAAGCTAGAACCCAACCTGGCAGACTGGCTCCAGACCCTCACAGTAGGTGACAGTTGGGGCCACCAAAGACTCTGGGCTAGACCAAGAGAAGTGGCTACATTTGGCTTGGGAATGCAGGCTGACCCATAGAGGTCCCGGAGAATCTAAAATTATCCATAGTAGCTTCTGGAAGATTTTCCAGCAGGCAGGGGGTTGCGAGCATCTTTGGCTCCTACTTTGCAGCTCTGGAAACTGAGACTCCGGGAGATTAGGGCCACGTGTCACACCCACTGTTGCAGAGGTAGCTGTAGGAGAGTGGAATTTGCACCTGTACTGCACACTACTAGGGGCAGAGCCAGCATCCAGGAAGGTATATATGTCTACACCTGCACAGGTACTTCTGGGGTGAGTCAGTCGAAACGAGCCCCTTGCTGAGGAATGCAGAGAGGGAAGGCACTCTTTGTCTCACTCCAGTGGCTTTCCAGCAGAGACCCCAAAGTGCTTTGCAGACATCCATTCATGCTCTTAACACCAGAGCTGCACTGCCCGGCTGACAAGACTCTCCGCCCTGCATCCAGGGACTGTGTCTCCACTTGCAGGCAGGCCAGCAGGAGGTCAGAGTCAACCAGGGGATGCTGTTCTTCTGGCCTGGCCTACTAGCCCCCATGGGGGGCTGAAGTGAGTGGTCCACGGAGCACCCAGGGCCAAGGCCCCAGGAGTTAATAACAGACAAGCCTATGATATGATTGTGTACTTTCAATGCTTCATCTCATTCAGCCTTGGCAGTGACCCCTGTGGAGGTGGCAGGTATGCTCCTCCCTGTGTCACAGATGAGGAAACTGAGGCTCAAAGTCAAAGCTATCAAATGACATCTCAGGAACCTCAAACTAAATCCGCTGACCCTGCTCAGGGTCTGCCTTCCTATAGACCATACTGTCTTGTGCACCTGCAGCACTCAAAACACCATGCAAAACCAGGGCCTTTGCCCCTAAATCAGGCTGGCTCTGCGGAGCCAGGGGGCAGACTGCTCACCTAGTGATTGATGGACTCAGGCTGCCTAGTTGCTGCAGAGACTGGTAGTGCCCTTGTGCACCACCTCTAACTGCCCTGCTTCCCCTGCCCCATCTTCTTCACATTGGACTCAGTTCTCATACATGCCACTTCCTGCCCTTGATTCTCTTCTCTTGCCCCTTCACCAAGCCTCCTCCCTTCAATGCCCCCTGAATACCTGCCTCCATAACAAAACCACAGCAGTCTCATGGGAGGAAAAGGAGGGCCACTCCCCCCACTTGCCCTCTTGCTCCTCCCTGCAGTCTTTCCTCCTGTTCTAAACCCTGTCGTCCTCCACTGCACGCCTCTCATGAAGCCTTGTATCCTCTGTCCCTGGCCTTCAGCCTCTGTGTCCTCCCCCTCACACACTGTCCTATGTGCTGAGGTGCACTCGTCATTACTTTGCTCCAGTTGTGAAAACTGAGACACCCATACACGAAGTCACTAGAGTCATTCCAACAGCCTCTGGACCCAGCTAGGCTGTCATGGGAACAGCCCCAAGCCTCAGCCAGGTCCCCCTGGGTCAGCGTATGGCCCCAAAGCCCCTTTGTCTTGCTGCACACTGGCTAGCCGGGTGGCGCTGCTGTCAGCGGGAGCCGATGGCTTCAGCCCGCTTGCCTTTCCCAGCACCCCTGGCTGTGCTCCGCGGCCCGGCCCAAACCCTCCCCCCACCTCCACCACCTACACAGCGGGGTGAACACTGGCCCCCTTGCCCTGTGCCAGGCTCTGTGCTGAGCACTTACTATGCTTTATCTCATCAATCCACATCACCATCTTATGGATATTTTTATCCACACTTTACAGATAAGAAAACTGAGACTCAGAAAGAAATTAACTTGCCCAAAATTACATAGATAATAAGTAGTATGGGGCTGGAATTGAAACAATGTTCTTAACCATGGAGCTCCATGGCCTCATTCAGTCCCTGTGGGCCAGTCAAGGACCGTCCTCACGGAAGCCTGGTTCTTCACAGAGCTCTGCCTCGGGCCTTTGATAACCCACTCCACCATCTTTTGAGGTCTGAGTCAAATCTGAGTCCCTCGAACCTGATTGAAGAATGGATTGTTATTTGAAATAGAGAAAACTGGGGACTGGGTTGATGATCCCTTTTACTCTCTTCTTTGCACAACTGCTGTGAGACTTCTGTGTTCCCCATCACTGTTCTAGGTCTCAATGAAATAAGCAAGAAACTCTGCCCTTGTGGAGTTTAGTTTTGTAAATTACACAGCAGGCATAGGATAATGAGGGCTAAGAAGAAAGATAAATCTGGGAAAGAGGGCCGGAGTCTTGGGGGTGTGGGCAGCTGCCTCTCCATGGGAGATGAAGGGCGGCCTGAGGCCTCTGCTTCCTGGGTGGATCCTGCCTAAGGCAGAGCATGAGGACTAAGCTGTGACTGTTTTAGGGGACAAGAGGTAAGAGGGGCCTCCTCATTTCCACAAGTGGTGACATAGAGGCCTAGGTCTAGAAAGGACAGTCTAGACATATGGACCCCTATGTTTATTGCAGCACTATTTATAATAGCCAAGATATGGAAGCAACCTAAGTGTCCATCAGTAGATGAATGGATAAAGAAGATGTGGTACATACACACAATGGAATATTACTCAGCCATAGGAAGAAAACAAATCCTACCATTTGCAACAACATGGATGGAGTTAGAGGGTATTATACTCAGTGAAATAAGTCAGGCAGAGAAAGACAAATACCAAATGATTTCCCTCAAAATACCAAATGATTTCCCTCATTTGTGGAGTATAACAATGAAGCAAAACTGAAGGAAAAAAATAGCAGCAGACTCACAGACTCCAAGAAGGGACTAGTGGTTACCAAAGGGAGGGGTGGGGGAGGGTGGGTGGGGAGGGAGAAGGGGATTGAGGGGTATCATAATTAGTGCACATGGTGTGTGTGGGGTCACGGGGAAGAGTGTAGCTCAGAGAAGACAAATAGGGATACTGTGGCATCTTACTACACTGATGGACAGTGACTGCAATGGGGTATGGGTGGGGGGACTTGATAATAAGGGTGAATGTAATAGCTGCATTGTTTTTCTTGTGAAACTTTCACAAGAGTGTATATCAATGATACCTTAATAAAAAATTTATGAAATTTAAAAAAAAAGAAAAGAAAAGACAGTCTATCTGGAGTGCTAGATCCTGTTGTACAGAATAGCCTTGCTAAAAGTGAGTGTGTGTGGATTTTCTCCCATTATCAGTGAATGAAGAAGCCCTAAATGTGAGTCCTAGGCTAGTTCTCTTCTGGACCACCTGCCCTTGGCTCCCTACCCTTGCCCCTACTTCCTCAAATTCGTTTGGCCTAAAACCATGCACAATAATTTTACCTAAACCTAAAAAATATCATTAAAAATGTATACTACATTCCAAAGCCAAATCTAAATAATTTTAAAACATCATGGTGGGAGGAAGTAGGAAACAAACATTTATTGATGGCCTCCTAAGTACCAGGTCCTTTATACTTTTTAGCTTATTTAAACCAACCCTCACTGCAAATTTCTGACCAAGGCATTGCCATCCCCAGTTTGTAAGTTAAAAAAGAAAGAAAGACAATCACAAGACTTAAAAAGGTAAAGTAATTTTAACCCAAGTTACATAAATCACAAGGTTGGGTTTTTAACCCATGTGTCTGACTCCAAAGTCTGTCCTATTTTCTGTTTCTCCATCAAGTTCCAGCTTGGCCACTTACCTAGAGTAACCTTGAACAAACTACTTAACCATTCATTGCCTCGTTTCCCATCTGCAAAATGGGTATTATGCTGATAGCTAACTTACCTGTCTACTCCCAGTTCTGTTCTGGTGGTCACATGAGTGCATACATAAGAAAAGCCTTTAGAACTTTAAGGCACTGTGAATGTACATTATTAATCCTCACCTTGAATTTAGAAGTCGTTATTGCTTTTCTACTATCTAGCCTTGTTGGTATCCAGTGGTACATTTCAATTTAGCCTAGCTAGTTTATTTTCCACATTCCTGTTCTGATGGGCTAGTCTCTGGCTGCTGGTTCTGAACTGTGTCATCTATGTTGTTCCCTTTCCAGTAGTAGGTATGTCCTCTTCCACAGCTATCCTTGAGACATCCTTGAGACATACCCACAACTGGGGGGGTTCCTTCCCCCCAGTTCCCCCAGTTGTGGGTATTCTGCAATGGTCTTTCTTCTGGCACCCCACATGCACTCCTTTCCAGCAATGAGATGGTAAATGTTAAACAATTGGCTTTCCAAATGTAGAACTGGCATGAATGCTGTTGATAATTTCATAGACACTAATAAGACAAAAGTGACACAACAAAGATTTATTTCAGAACCTCACTTATTTGTTCTATGACAGGAGCAACTTTGCTGATTTGGATACATGTTTTAATACTGGAAGAATATTACCTCGATTCTTCATGTTACAATATTCACATGGCCACATACACAACACACTTTTATGCTGAATATAACTTGTTAACATTTTCTCTATCACTTTCTTAAGTCTAGACAATCAATGAAACAATACACCAAGTGCTGATTTGTAGTTTGCCAATTTCTGTAGTGTAAATATTCTGACCATGGCTGATTTCAAACTACCCAAGGTAGTGTTGCTGAATGTGGAATCGGAAGAGATGCACAGTAACATACCCGATGTACTATTCCCACCAAATTGATATGAGATGCAAAAATCAACAGCCTAGGTAATAGTGAATTATAGCAAAATAATTAGAATGTGATCTGTTTTCAGTATTTATTAACTTTGTTTTAATATAATTTATTTACTTTTAAGTTTATATAATTTAGTTTTCCATATGACTGTGTTTCATAACTGGCTCACAGAGTTCCTGAAAATTTGACAATCGGCCAATGCAGGCCAGCTCCAGCCCACCACTGTTTCTTCCCTTCTTCCTATTAGCCCCCGTGAGCCTCATGCCATCTCATCACCACACCCTTTATTAAATAGCTCCAGCTAGGCCAGGTCCACATGACTCAAGAGAACATTATTCAAGGCTCAGCTTCTCCAAATAAGCAATGTCAACAGCTTCAGTCTAGTGGAGTGACTTAATGATCTGTTTCCTTCAATAAACTGTGATTTCTGAACTTGGTTCAGATACCTGAGCGTCGTTGTAAGCTGAGAGTGAGGCCCAAAGGCATTTGTGATGTCATATACTAGGTTTAAACTTGGCAAGAAGATGACATTGTGAGAAATGGATTTTCTTAGGCCGATTTAAGGAAGTTTGAGGTGTTTTTTTAAGAGTTAAGCCAAGGCAAAAAATAACCCTTGCAACACATCACTTCACAGTTGGTCAGCCTAGGAGAAGCTATTCTGGGATATCCAAGCTGAGATGCCTCTTTAAACTCCAGGCAAAATGGAATCAGGATGTTAGGCTTCTATTCCTGTCTGTGTCAAGGACTTGCTATGTCGTTACCCAGCTGGTGCTTCAGTTCGAGCTCTGGCAAAACCAAGTCAATGGCCTTTGTCGAGCACCTTAGACTTAAGCTATGGGGAGCAGTAAAGATAATTGCCAGGGCTAGTGGGAGGGTTTGGAGTGTCCACTTGAGGTGTTCTTAATCAGTGGAGACTCTAGCAGGAGGTAAGTTTTGGGTGAAA